ATAGTGCCTTACACATAACAATATTTGTATGTTATGTTCAGCCTAGATATGATGACACATGTATGTTGCTGCCTAGTCAACCTACAGTGTCCAGTAAAAGCATAGTATATCCTAAAAGTCTCTCTCATTTTACAAAGTATGTATAAAGAGATATTGAAAGAGACTGTCATTGCGCCATCCTGAGCAATTGCATGCATGACGCCTGTCGGGGTCATTAGGTGGCCGCAGGTCTCCCCGACAGACGGGGAGATTACAGGCCAGATGTCGGCTTGTATATAGCAAGAAGGCGGTGGACTGGGATTTGTTTGGGAGTAGATGGACTTCTGTGTTTCCAGAGCTGATACGTGCATGTAATACCAAGTACAGCAACATTTTTTATTCTAAAGCGAGATAATAACTCTGGCATTCTGCTTAGAGTCAACAAATCTTTATAGGGAAAACAATTAATGTTCTCTCAGTGCCTTTTGGGATTATTTCTGACGTGTGGTCACTGAGACATCACAGAGAGACAGGAATGAACTATGCTGGGGGTTGGGATGTCAGACTAAAATCATGCTTCTATTTAAAAACAATATTCAAAGTTATGAGCAGCAGGAGACATTTAGCTTCTTTCATTTGCATTTATAAAAGGGCAAGGATGACTTTCTCCTCATTGCTACATGTGATTACCAGCGTGTCTGCTGACTGAATAAGTTCTGTCCACTGGTTAAAATGCAGCCTGTAGGTGGTTAAATTACTCAAAACCACCTACATGCCCCAAAGTAGAGACAGACCACTCGAGCCGGGCAGGTCATTTTATTAAAAGCTAATGTTGTCGCTTTACATGTTTGTCTCAAAAACGCACAAGTGACCAACATGTGATGCTGAAATTAGCAGCATCAACAGCAAATGAAGATGATATCCACTGGTGTGTTGTGTAACCCACCACCATTTCTCTTTCACTCAAAGTCTTTCTGTCTATACGTTTCCGTCTTTCTCTCTTCTCCCGCACTTCTCTCGCTCTCTCATTTTCCGTTGACAAGCTCACTGAATCTTTGACCACACAGCCTGGAAAAATAGCACGGAGTCATGCTGCAAGGCAAGTCTATCCCTGACCCTGATTCCCTCTCACCACATTTCCATCAGCAGCGAACTAAAACACATCTAATCATTTCAATTTTCCCCCTCCGTCGCAGTATTATTAACATTGTTAATTTTCTGAGGGTTGCAGCCCAGAGGGGAATGTCAAGGGAAATGCATTATGGCGAGATATTCCATTGATCCACCATTACACACACTTACTTGGTTGCTGTAATGGCCTAATGATACCAAGGGACCAATTTAATACCAATGTAGAAAACAGAAGGCCATTCACCCCCAAAAGAAGGATGCATTAAAAACCAATATATAGACAAGGCCTAACATCTTAGCAGTCACACTGCTTTGTTTCATGGTGCTTTGAACTGCTGATGTGCTTTCGTGTTACCACCAAGATGAATCTGGCAGACCTTTCAATACTATTTCAAGAAAGACGCCTGCTGGATGAACTCGCTTATACTAAAGTGTACCAAACTAAGCCACTGGGAGTAATTCATGCTTACAGGGCTTGAAATATTTCTGTAATTTCTTACTCGAGTTAGTACTCAGATATTTTACTTACTTTATAAGTTGTATATGTATATCTCCAAAATCACTCTCTACCTATATTTTGTGATAACCTTAACTCAGATACTTACTTTACATGAACAATGATTTGATAAATACAAAAAACAACACAGACACAAAGCTAAGTGAATTTAATGTTCTCTTGTTTTCTCTCTACATTTTGAATGTAAACTGCAGTTGCCAAAAAGTGAACAATATACTTGGATAAGGAGTCACTTTCACCTTTGAAGTTACTAAACAAACTGAGATTTGAGAAACCAGAAGAACTCTGCCGCTCTGAAGCAGCTCGACCCGAAGGTTTGTCAGTTCAGTCGACCACTGATTGAGTCTCATTGTTTCCCACTTTTTACCAGATTAAAACATTATCTGGAAACAAAAGAGGCTTTAAATTCGGCCAGCAACAAAATGCACAATGTTAATGTTTCTTGATGGATGTAAAAGATTGTGACAGTCTGGGATATGCTAGGCAGCCAGCCCTCACATTACAACAAAGTTATGGAGCATAATCACATGAATTACATTTAAATACTGCACACATACAGGAAATAGGTGAATACAAATTAGTGATGACGCTTAATGTAAGATTCAAACAGTCCCATATCAGAGGACAACTTTCCTTCACGCTCTCAAAAAAGTAGAGGTTTTTTTTGTCAGTTCGCAAGCATTTAAGCTCACGCAAAAGCTGAATATACCAAGACAAACTCACTGATCAAGTCAGAAACAAAGGACAAGTATATCTGTTCAATTAAACTTCCAGCAATGAGACATTCAGATATCTGAGATGTTAAAACTGAGGTCATCCCTTAAAGTCATCCAAAGAGAATCATCTAAATGCAAAAGGCCACATGGCTAGAACAAGGTGCAACATGCTCGCTTGAGTGTGCTTGTTGCACACAAACGGACTTAGGCTAATGAGCTAGCAAAACTACCACAACCTGGAACTACTAATACAACTGATAGCTGTCATATGGACAATAACTATCTATACGAAACATATAATCAGCCTTGGGGAACATAATCATGCCCACCCAACGCCCCAAGGTTCATCAAGCCTGCAGTGTCTACTGTACCTACCCAAAGATCTAAACCGCACAAGGCAGAAAATAGTAAATAGAGCAGAGAAAGCTTTTTGAAGAGGCTGTTAAGAGCTTAACGCATTCTCTAATTATACATCTCACTTGCTCTCTTTTGAAGAGAACTGTAAATGGGAACACGCCAAGGTTTTAGATTACTACAAGTCTTGTAAAAATGAGTAAAAAGCGGTCCATTGCGGACCACTTTTGCGGCAGTCTAAGAGCTTTATACCTCCCCTCTCATTTCACTTAAATGTAAAACATAAAGCATTAATGAACGCTAAGAAGAAAAGGAACACTTCACTTAAAGACGTACACCAGTAACACACCATGTGTCAAATGAGAGGGGAGAGAAAGGCCTAAGAAAGTGTGAAAAGATTGCCACGTATAGCACATGTATCTGGATGTAGGTAGGTAGATAGATAGATAGATACAGTAGATAGAGAAAGGAGTGTGTATATGAACTGTTGCATGTAGCAGCCTTTGTTCTTCTACTCACACCCTTCTGAAATAACAAAATAAAGGGATGAAGGTCAGTTGGAGAGCAGACTGCCAAATATAGCTGCTGTGTTCATGTGAGGGCCAGACTCTCCAGAACGACAAGCCTAGCTCTGACCAAGCCCTGTAATTGAGGAGAAAATAAGGACAGAAATTATATGTTTATTTTTGACAACAATTTTAATCTTCTGTGCTCTCCTTCAGAAAAACGAGACGCCCACAAAAAGGCGCTGAGAATCTGTCTCACCCGAGACCAAAAGTTGAGTTCTTCACTTTTTCAACCAATAAATACAATTCTAAAATGCCTTTTAAAACATAACCCTGACAGACAGATACACAAACGATGACTTTTAACCTATGAGATTAAAGCTTATGTTTCTCACTATATACACATTTATTGAAGATTCACTTTTTTTGTTGAATACTTTTCTGTGACAGCAGAGTGCTCTTTAACCCAAAACCACGTATGCATTGTAACACTGGTTTTTTATTGTATAAGTATAAAGATATTTTAAATGAAGGTTTTTAGACCACATTTTTTATGTAACTTATACTTGTTTGTTTCCATATAATGCGAGGAGAATATTTATTATATTTAACCGTACGCAATGTATGTGTCCCCCACAAAAATAATGATCTAAAGAAAAATAACAAATTAAGAACTCTTTAAAGGCCTAAACAAACCTAACATTTTATAATACATTTGGATGGAGTGTTGATTCTTCTCAAATCTCTTAAAGTGTTTATATTTAGTTAACCAGGCAAACAGTTTGGAGAGCAAATACATTTAAAATGAGTAACTCACCAAAATATGGCCCATACATATTTTTTACATTTTGCTCTGAAGGATTTGAAAATCAATAAGGACAGAAAGGTATAGATGATTTAGAAATACCACTTTGCAACTGTCTTTGTCAAGATTTATTATTGTTTCCATTTTTAAACATCAGCTTTCATGTCTCATTTCTTCCTCTTTTTATCAAACATCTTACTTATGGAAAATAATCTTTGCGAGTCCCCCCCCACCCTCTGGAATTTGCCATTTGAATTCATTTTATGTGATGTGATAATCTCTTCTTTATTTTATTTAATGGCGGGATCCTTTCCTGCTCGCCTGTCTCTGTAGTTCAGTCTCTTTTACCATCACAGTTAATGTCTAAAAAGGCAGTTAACTGCATTTAAGAATATTGGAAACAGAGAGAGGGTTGAAACCAGAATAATAAAATCTCGGATGGAAACCACAGCCTCGGTCTGTTTAATTCTTTTTATTATTTATGTGGCGCAGGCGGAGGCTACATGTTCTTTTGTTATTCTTCCACTCTCAGGAGGAGAACTGGAAAGAGCTCACGTTGGTTTTTTCACTTCTTTTTACAGTGCAAATGAATACAATTTACAGCATGTCTAAATCTGTTATCTGGCCTGATAATGTTCTGTGAGATGATGTTAAACTGTAGTCTTTCCCCTCAGACTTCACTGGACTAATCCCAGTGGAAAATATAATGCCAGTGAAACAGAAATAATGTCCTCATGGTGATTGATGAGTAACCCATTCATGCATTTATCTTGGAAAATGATTCGACACTCTCTGTTTGGGGAGGTGGGATGTCCTCTTTCTATCCACCAATCTCCTTCCATTTTCTTCCATTTCTGGGTTTTTATTGCCTCTTAGCGAGTCTTCAAAGAGCCCATGGCCTATAATTAGGGGGCGGGCTCCCCGTGCCTCAAAACACTTCCCCGCGTGAGTGCTCAACTTCTTTCAAACTGTCCCGGGACTCTGAGCTGCGCTTCTCTCTCTCCCTTCAGCTTCCTTAGGATTTTGTTTCTCAGGGATGGCCGCATCTATTCTGGAGGTAGGGAATGTGATTGTAAGTACATTTTTCTTCCTCTCTTTTTATTTTATTCAAAACCAACTTTTGTGATTTAATTGTTGTTGAAATTCCAGCCAGAGTTTAAATATAAAAGTCTAGTGTTTGAAAGATAGATTAACTAAGACCGTAGTACAGATTAGTTGACAGAATTTAAAGTCTGAATACAAATATATGACTGAATATTAATCTTTGACATGAAATGGAAATCACTATTATGTATTACTGAAAAAACAATCTTATGTATTGATGATAAGTTATTTAAAGCAACTTAAGGGTGAGCTGAGAGTTTGGCTTACTATCATGAAAATTTACAACTCACATTTTAATAATCTTTGCATTTACATTTCCTCTGGGCATCAGGCATTAGTCCTTTATGCAGAGCAAATATAAATATATAAAGATAATTGAATAACAGGTTATCTCACCTGGCAAAGTATCTGCACAGTAGTCAGCTGATGGAGCAAGGTATTTCGAGCTGAGCAGGAATTGTAGGGGCCGTAAAAGTCTTTAAAGTCTTTGATGAAACATAATTAACCTGAGAACTGGGTTCACCTTGAGGCTGGTTGGAAGAGAAGGAGATAACCACTAATCAGCCCTGAATGAAGAGGCAGTCTGAATCAAAAGACATCTTTAAGACTATAATATTCTATTCACACTTATTCAAAGTTATTGGCCGGGATTAAAAAGAGTTTAATGCAACTAGATTTATGACAACTTCACAACGCGTTTAATCCCTAAAGGATTATCGCAATGGTTTTATATTTATACCACAGCAGGTAGCACGCAATGAGTATAAAATAACATCGGTAAACTCCACATGACATTATGTAAAGAACATAATAGGGATTTTTCAAATGTTCGGATATCCACGTGTACAGTGTGTCAGCTTTATAAACACAGGCCTCTGTTATCTTGTGCTATTGTGTTTATTATGTTCCACATGAAAAGGGAAATACTATATAATAGAGAGACGGCTATTAGGTATTACACTTTGTATTGTAAAGTGAAATTCCTTTAGTAGTGAGTTTTAGTCAGGTATACCAAATAATTAGTTCACTTAAAAAATGATCTTATGGACCAGTGAAGATTCTGAATCCTTACATGAAAACGCATACAGACAATCAACATTATGATAAATTAAGAGAATTGTAAGAAATGTTAAAGAACAATGGTAAAACGGTTGTAACACTATTATGAGCTTGTTTTCGATGCCATTGGGACTACAGGAGAATAAAAACACGTTTGACAAGATACACACAGAGAATAATAATCAAGCACATACACAAAGTAAACAATGTAAGTTTATGTATGATGGAGACCAATAGAAAAGGTGAAACAAATGTTTAAAGCAAACATGAATGCCAAATTTAGAAAAGCTTGTGGTTTAAGCGAAACAAAAGAGTAAGGGAATTCCTCCCTTGCTGAGCAGAGCAGAACCTATACAAGCATAAACATTCACTGCTTGAAATTTCCGATACCACTTTGGAAACTGGGGGAGAGGAAAAGCCAGCGGTGGCAGTCTGACATAAGTTTTTTATTAGAGTTGACACTGACAGAAGCAGCAAGCAGCCATTTCCTGCCGACAGACAGTCTCATGTTCTCCCTTGTCTCCTCCTCCCAGGAAGACGCACGCTATGGCTCCAGTCCTCTGGCTATGTTAACTGCTACCTGTAACAAGTTCGGCAGCACAAGCCCCATCAGGGATTCAGCTACACCCGGTAAGCTCGGCAGCGCTACTCCAGTAAAGAAGCATTACATCATGACCTCTGACCTTCAGTCATCTAAGAACGGGCGCACCGCAGACGGCAGCGGCCTGGCGGACTCCTACACTGGCTCCTTCACCACAGCAGGAGGAGGAGGAAGCGGGTTGCTTACCCCCAATGGAAGCCCCCCTCAATCTGCCGGAGGCTACACTTCAGAGTATAACCCTTTCTCCCACTCCTTCCAAACCTCCATCTCCCAGGATCCGTCTCTTTTAGTGTCCAAGGCCCACGCTACGGTCGACTGCCTCACCAGTGTCTATACCTCGCTGGATATGACACACCCCTATGGCTCTTGGTACAAAGCAGGTGTCCACCCTGGCATTACTGCTGCTCCAGCTAATGCCACATCCTCCTGGTGGGATGTCCACCCCAACTCCAACTGGCTGTCATCATCTCAGAACCAGGCAGATGGCGGTCTCCAGGCCTCCCTGCAGCCTGTGGCCCCTCAGGCCTCCCTCAGCCCGCAGTTGTCCAGTTACAGCACCGACTTTACACAACTCAACCCAGCTCAGTACTCCTCTGTGGGGCTGAGCTCCTCCTCACACCTCCTCCAGCCCTCTCAGCACATGCTGCCCCAGGACATGTACAAGCCCAAGCCTGTGCAGAGCTCAGGGATGATTGAGAATCCCATGGGTCTAAAACCTGCAAGGGGATCGGGGGGCTATAGTGGAGGGGGAGCCCCCACCAGGTCCTCATGTGACTGCCCCAATTGCCAGGAGCTGGAGCGGCTCGGGGCCTCGGCTGCATCCCTGAGGAAGAAGCCTGTCCACAGCTGCCACATCCCAGGCTGTGGAAAGGTCTACGGCAAGGCGTCCCACCTCAAAGCCCATCTGCGCTGGCACACTGGTGAGCGGCCCTTTGTTTGCAACTGGCTGTTCTGCGGGAAGCGCTTCACCCGCTCGGACGAACTGGAGAGGCACGTGCGCACCCACACACGAGAGAAGAAGTTCACATGTCTACTGTGCAACAAGCGTTTCACACGCAGCGACCACCTCTCCAAGCACCAGAAGACCCATGCAGATTCTGCAATGCAGGGAAAAGCTGTAGCTGGGGAAGGAGAGACAGACCCTCGGAGCGAGGAGACCACAGAGCTCAACACCAGCGCCGTACCCGCCAATACTGTCGTTGACCAGATCAGCAACGGAGAGGAGAAGACTGGCACACCTAATGGAGTGGAGAACAGCAGTGGACTGTTGGAGATCTGACTTCAAGTGGTGTACTTGTCTTTAATGGTGGAAAATAAATCACCTTTTAAATTAAAAGAAAAGACAGTATTTTGTTTCAAGACATTCAAAGGATGTGTTTGAAAAGACTTGATATGATAAATGACTGAGCATGTTACAGGTAGCAATCACTTCGTTTTCTCTGTACCACACACGCACACATAAGAATATGAGCAAGCCTGCAAACAAACACCAATGCAGGAAGACACAGATACACACAAATATAAGAAACCAAGCCATGACGTATATTGAAACCAGTATAACTGTGCACATACACAAAATTAACTATGAGCAAATGTGCCGGCATATATAATGCATATACAGTATATATGCACACACACACACACACATACACACACAAGTAAACACACATTTTCTGTCTTTCAAATGAGACAAACCACTAGGGAAATTTAATCTGCGAGAGCAGAAGGAAAAGAGCTCTGAAGCCGCAAAAGGAAAGTCGTTTTAAAAGGAGACTTATGGTTAGGATGATGGAGCTGATGGAGTATTGCATGCCTAGAGAAAAATCTGATTTACAGTTGTACTTTGATACTTATTCATTATTCTTGAAACAATCAATGAACAGGCTTTCTTCTTGTTCTTCTTGTTGCCAAAGATGTTCTGATGTAAAAGGTTTTCATTTCTCTTTTGTTTGCTTCATAATATGTCTAATTTAATTTCATATTTACATAAACAATCTAATTTATGTCTTAAATTATACACACGAAAGATTATCTTATCCTGCACCCTGCGGGAAATATAATGCCTGAAATAACGCAAGATGGTTAAAGCTGGCCAAAAAGAGAAGAAAATGCATTAAATTAAGACTTTTTTTCTTATTTATTAGCGATAACATTGAGTTTGGGGTTCTGTTTTTAAAGATTTATTTATAGATCTTGAAGTTAGATGTGCGTGTAAACTATTTCTGTATAATCTTTTAATTTTGAAATATTCCACACCTGGCAAAGTAACTAAGAAAAAGGGTTTCTACTTTTTAACATGAACTATATATTTACAAAAATATATAGATATTGTTAGGTGTGTTATTTTTCTACTTTTTTCTATATTTTGTGTAACTTTCCACAATGAATCCCTAGAGTATACAAAACATAAACATTAATGCTAATTTGTCGTTTATGATTCTGCTCATTGTAAAATTGAACTACCACTGTTTTCTGATTTGTTGTGAAATGAGTGTAAGACCGGTAATAATGATAAAGCTTTAACCCTCGTAAAGGTTAACATGTTGTAAAAGTTTTGGTGTGGAACCATGACGATTGTGGTGCTTTAAAAAGTAAAGACATTTCCAAAAAACATTTTCTCCTCTGTTTTTATTCATATGTTAAGGTGTTTTAAAGAGTAAAACCTTTAGCTCCTCAAGCATGAAGCTCACTCCTCCACACCTCATCCCCTCCTCTCCTCAATCACTGTCATTCTTTTCATATCTTACTATATTTCCACCTCACCATGGCCAACCAAATACTTTCATTATCTTTTCCAGCACAAACAAAGCCGTCCACTGAAGTGAAGTCTTAACTCCACACAATGACCCCCTTTCAGAGAGCCACTGTAGTTACACTCAAGACAATTACTCCACTCTCCAGCCCGAGAGGGGTAATTACTGAGAGCGATGCTCCAGCAGAATCAGGAGAGAGGAGTAGAGGGGATTAGGACAGGGGAGCTGTGGTTGTATTGTTTATTGAGGGAGGCGGTCAAACAAAGGACCCCAATTAAAGCAGGATGCAGGACGAAAGACGTGATATAGAGATACGAAAGCAGAGGAGAAGCTGAGCTTACCCCCAAGTGAATTGTAGTCCTTAAAAACATCATGCTGCACTGTAGGTGACATTAAAGTCCCAATAAGTGGACTCCAGTCAGGTCATTCAGGTTATATAGCAGACTAATAAAGATACTTGAGGTGGGTGGATTTGCCACTCTGCATTAAAAGGGCGATAGCCTCAGGAAAGACTAAATGAAGATGTGCTGTGTGATATAATATCACCAGACAAACAATTATTCAAAGAGTTCATCTTTAAAATATGTTTATAACTAAAGTGGAAAACAGATGATTGTTGAAGAGAGGATAAAACAATCTCATAAATATGATAAAAATCCTTCTCCCCAACATTCTTCAGAACATGACTTCATCTGTTGTTAAAAGGTCCCTTTTTTTAAGACGTAAAAGTGAAGAGTTTCATCACAGCAGTGAAGACCTGTACAGCTGGAACCCCCCTGAAGATACTGACTCTCCTGCTGTAACATGTACACTTCCCAGGATGCATGGTTCCAATTTAGGGTATCTAATGAGCTGTAGTTGAGGTCAATTTATATAAAACGTCCCGGGGCCGACTCTGTCATCGGGGACCAACATGTTTATGGTGGTCTGAAGTGGGCGCACGGTCAAGTCCACAACATAAAAGTCAAACAGGGGGATTGGGGTATGGTAGGGTGTGGCAGGCCAGCGAGTAAGGGTGGGGGGGGTTTAGAACACGGTCAGTGGCTTTGAAAACCTCTCCTGGTAGTTTCTGCCTTTAAAAGTAAATTCCCTCAGCAGTGGTGGTGGCCTACTGTAGCCCTAACTTTATTTTTACTTCTTTATTTAGAAAGCCAGGAAACATTAAGTGTCGCTTCAAATAAGGTCATAAAAAGAAAAATATACATGCAGTGACACAGGGGCAAAAGAAGAAGCTGGACAATCTGTTCCATATGGCTTGCCCACTCGTGCCCCTGCACTCCATTTACAAAAAAAACACAGACTTGTTAGGACTAAAAATGTTATTCTGGAGGATCCCAGACACACAAGTTAAAACCATCACACAGCCCATTTCCGACCTAACTAACACGAAGGAGCAATTTTAAAACATTCACTCAGGCATCGTTAAGTTTAACCATAAGACTTGATGATACATGAACTATTTTGCTTAATTAATTACTCCAGGGAGTTTCAACCTTCAGAGACTCCAGCTGTTTTAAGTGAGATAACAACTCATCATGATGCGCGGAGGAATATGCTAATGATTCTTCTTTTCCTGTTATTATCTGGTCCTAACTGAATAGTCAAGTAAAACAATGGGACTGTGATCTGACATAGCCACAGGCAGGGGGGCAGCAGGGCGGGGGGTTCATGGGGGAGGCACGGGGCAGGACAAAAGCACAGGTGTTTGCAGGTGTGACTGGGTCTCTGTGGTAAGGCGGGGGAGAGAGAGGGAAAAGAATGTCAGCGCGCCCAGAGGCTCAGCATTTAGGCCATAAGTAAAAACAAGATAAGGGTTTTTCACAAAGGGGAAAGGTAAATTGACCTGAGTGGACCATAACATGACCTGAAGACAAAGAGAGGTCAGGACAAATAAAAACGGTTCAAGAGGAAAACACAACAGATAAGAGAGAGGGGCAAGAGGTAAAAAGGTCAGGCTACCATGCAGATGTCTACATTGCTTATCACTTTTTGCCATCATTTACATTTGTCAGGAAAAGAAACAACATCATTTCAAGTAAGTACAATAGATGTGACTGACTGAGTGATTTGAAATTGAGTCCAGCTGATGCAATAACATCAATCCTTGCAGTAGTGCTTCCGATCTCTCCTCACCAAGTCATTATTACAGTGGTGACGGAGGTTAGACCACCCTCTCCCACTTTTGACAGATCAAACAGAAGTCTGTGTGACTTGCCTCATCAAATTAAAGTGCTTTTCATATTTCAAACTAAAATCAAACAATGTCACAACTCTTTATAGCCCTGAACTGCCTTTAAAGTTTAAAGGGAGTCCTCCCCTGCTGCCCGATGCTCCAAATGCGGCGCTAAATGAGGCCATTTTGTTTATAGGAACTGTGGGAGGGTTGTGGGTGACTCTATGCCCCTTTAAAAAGATAATATGCTTCCCATTTAATGGCCTCCGGATGACAAATTGCTTCCAGGGGGAAATGAAGTTAAGAAAATTGCATGTGTGACACGTAAAGACATATCCACTCTACTTAAGATGTTTGACATCCATAATTCAATTAAACACAGCAGTAGGTGAAGTTAGTTGTTTTTTTGAATAACCACATTGACCCATAAGGTATGAATAAAGTAAATGCTTTGGCCCTTCATCATTGATCAAAAGTGTTTCTTAACATGTCATCATAATGTGCATTCACATTATGACAACAAATGATTAATTTGATTTTAATTGTAAGGTCACTTGAGGGGATCTATAGTGAGAGCACATGACGTAAAGCTGGTGATTCACTTCATGTTGACCACAATGGAACATCTTTTTTTTGTTGACAAGAGGAATAACTCTTTATCTCATGGGGATGGTTGGAAAATTGCAACATAATATCCTTACAAATATCCAGAGCACCCATGCAAGGGTTCCTTTGTTTTAAAAATGCTTACTATCTTGATAATATGATAGCGTTTTGACTGACGTACAGCCCAAACCATTTTTGTTTGCGTATTGCAAGCCACTAAATGCTTCCTTGGGACATTTTAAGTGAAGGGATTTAAGAAAGACAGAGCAGAAAAGGAGTGGTGGATTAAAAAAACACAAAAAAAAAACCTCAGGAAAAAAGGTAGAGAAAACACAATCAGATAGACCTGCCACTATAAGTACAGCGGTAAGTGAAAAGAGAAGGCAGCCAAATAGCAGATTAATCTGGATTTGGATCAACTGAATGAGGAAACTATAGAAGGAAAAAGAGTCAGGGAGGAAGGAGGGAGGAGAGAGAGGGGGAGAGAGTCAAAATGCAGAAAGAGGACGGAGTGATTTGGGTTGGAAGCGGGAGCAGGGAACCAGGGTTGGCAGGGTTTTGGTGGAGGAGTGTGGTGGTTCAGAAGTCCTCCAGCGCGAGGCGCCAGTGTGTCCGGCGGAGGCCCCGACCATGAGCTGCCTCACCCCCCCAGAGCCACGGCCACAAACCCCCTCTCTCCCTTCACCACCAGCACCGCCACCCATCCAACCAAAAACCCACTGGCAGGCAGCGCTTCACTGAAGCTGCTGCTGCATGTTTATTTAATATTTTGAAGAAATTGAAATATCTTTGTGGGTTAACACACATAGATACACAATTACATATCACTCACCCCCCTGACACACACACACACACACACACACACACACACACACACACACACACACACACACACACACACACACACACACACACACACACACACACACACACACACACATTCACACACATTCACACACCACAATATATAAATAAATAAAGCAGAGTAATAATGTTCTCTTGATCTGTGGCCAAGAATAGAGTTGGAGAAAATATTTTTCAAATGGTGTTTTCAGAAGTGTAGAGGGAGGAGCGTGAATGTCTGACACTGCATGATGCCTGAGCGGGCAGAATGTTTTGGACTGACTCCCACAGAGGAGAGAGAGAATTACCAAAGTATCTGACAAACAAGAAATAGTTCCCATGTGATGTGAAAGGAACAGTGTGACAGAGAAAAATAAATAAAGCCTAACATTTAAACTTGCTGGTAGAAATGAATATCGGCTCCATTATACATGGATGGTGTTGAGTCTATATTAAACAAAGCATTTCACATATAAAGCAATTTAGCAACTCTGAGTGTGTGGTCTACGAATGAGAACATGTATATGAGGTGTTTGTGAAGTGCTAAATGAATAAATGTGCATGCCAGTCTCTCTCTCTATTTGTGTATGGGTGCACACCTCCATAATGAGTTTCTGATCATTACAAAGCCATTTCTTCAGACAGAAATTCTTTAAACAGCCTCGGTTTTTGGGCTTTATGCTATCCCCCTCCTGTCTCCTCTCTCCTCAACAGCCACCAACCACTGCTGCTGCCAAAAATAACACAGGAGCGCCACTCGAACCCGCGCCTCACCACAGCACAGCTTGGCCGCAAGAGAGGGATCAAAACACACACAAAAAAGGAAACACATCATATTGTGGAAGGAGAGAAAAAGAGCATTCATACAGCTCCATGCTTGAAGATATTTACTGATGATTTTGGCAACTAAAGAACCACACATACTAATGTGCCAGGCCAAGACAAGGAAAATAAAAGTGTGTTTGTGGATGTGTGTGTCAATGTGTGAATACATTTTGGATGTACATTAGCTGCTAAGATGGTATTCATTTCTGATCTCATTCAACCACAAGCTCAATAAAAACACTTAGATATCACATTATACGTCAATATATTTGGCCGTTTAATTGACAAATCAAAGGCCCAGCAAACAAGGAGGGGTTACACTGGTCACACATGAATCATGGGGCTTTGATTGAAGGTCAGGGAGTTCAAATCGGAGCTGACTTCACTCATTGTCATGGCCAGTTCACTTTGTGCTACACTTGGCAAAATGTGCTTATCCACACTGAAACGATGATGCCAGTGAATGAAGCCATCAGAACCCCAAGCTCTATTTCAATGGTGGCCAGCAGGGGTTTACGAGCAAACCATCATGGGATTAATTTTCTAGCCACATAAATAAAGAAAAAGATGGAAAGGTGGAAAATGCTGAAATATTTTATGGAAGTTTGCTATGGTTGGGGCAGGAGGTTCTGAACCTCAGTTCCAAAGGGGTCTGCACGATAGCTCTGGGAATATTCACCAAAGCAAAGGGATCCAAAATAAGCAAGGAAACCACCAAAATGTAAGTTGACAGTCCTTAAACGTTTTCTATTTATATTTAAATAAATGCAACATTCCAACTCTTCCACACACAACACAGACACTAAAGTGGAACGTTTGGTTGTGCCGTGCAGGCTATATGGGGCATTCTACCGAATTAGTACAAAGTGCGGTCCCACAATAAGAAAAAGTATTCAGACAATATATTTACTAAGAATATGTTATGGTCTATTCAAACACAAGGCATTGCATTAGATAGTGATAAGCTTAATATATAGAAAAACATCATTTATAGGGTACTTTATATTGGGAAGTAGCTGTCCCCAACCCTGACATCTAAATTTCAATTATTATTATTATACTATTGTTAGGCATATATTATAGCTCTCAGATATATAAAAAACATGTCTATGAAGTGTTTTGCTCAAAATACCAAACAGATCATGCATTCTAGCCTCATTCCCCTCTATTTCAGCCTGTTACTAAAGTGCTGATTCTGGGTCAGTAGCTTCAAACATTCACACTTGAACATAAGGCATGTTATGAGTTAAGATTAAGCAATAAGGTTGAGGGAATATGATACAACCTTGAGAACAAAATAATGTGGTCACTACCGAAACAGTGGATGTTTTGTAAAAAATTAAGTATATTGAGTTATCAACTAAAATATTATGATACTGATTGGTTTAATATATGTTCAATTTCAACAATCATCAACTCTGGAATCAATATGATCAGTATTATGCATTTTACAAAGAAAGTTTGCATTATGATTTTTATGAATTGTATAAATTGAACTTTGATTAAAAATTCACTTTTATTAATTTAATTGTGAAAACCCTCAATAATATTTGTTAAAATACTATTTAGAGAAGGGAAGGTAAAACAAAATCTTAACAGGTTAATATAATACTTTTTTACTACAGTGTATGTACTATGTTTCGGTAGTGACCATTTTTGGTAGAGGAAGAACATTACAGCAATACAGTCTGAAAATACGATGTAAAAAAAATATGTAATAAAATGTACGGTTCTTTTACTATATATGTGTAATTTAGATATGGTACAAAATATAGGCCTATGGACAAGGTTTTGGGGAAAATACATAAACAATTTCAAAACATTTCCAACCTGACTTTGGTCCAATTCGGTAGAATGGCCCATATAGGCCTGTTTTCAACCAATTCTGTCTGTCTGTTTATTCCTGTGTGTATTTTTTTTTTGTACACTATGTTGCTTCAACATGATATGTAGTTAAATGTTGATTAGAGCTGGAGCTGCAGTCTCCGGGCCTGCAGGAACATGCTACTCGGTGCCAGGGCCCCAAAGTACTGACGAAGCCCCGAGAAGCTTGTCGGATGTGCAGACCAGTGACTGACTGGCGCCCTCTTATGGTGACTATCAGTTATAACAAGTTACTGCACTGAGAGCCAGCAGCATGCAGAAAGTTGTGGACCCAAACACATTTTCATCGCTGGAGCCTTTAATTTACCGTTCAGCTCAACTGGCCATCCAAGCAGAAACCATTATTAAATTATAGGATGATGAATTGCGGACACGCTGAACAAAACGATGCAGAAAACAACTAACATGTATACAGGTACAGTTGGTACTGGCACTTACTTGAATACTTCTGGTACTTTATCTTCCAACGCAGTTGTCTTGAGAGCAGCAGTTTGAAGATGCTAATCTGGTGGCTAGCTAACGTTAGCTGCAAAAAAAACATCCGTTACACTCACAAAGTACGTTAATTTTGTTTTCTCATTTGTAGCTCTTGCACTGACGTTAATAAAACCGTGAAGGGAAATTTTTTCCCTTGGTAATGACTTTACACCAGTAAAGCTAAACTAATTTAACTGAATTTAGCAAGGTGCGTGCAAGCTAGGACCATGGATTTATCAGAGAACATCCATGATTATAACTTGGTTGTACTTTTTGCACAATTTGGAATAGACGAATTCTACTTTGGATATAATGTTTATACTTTGTCCTGCAACTGCAAACTACATTTTCCCGTATGTGAAGTGCAAGTGACTATTCACCTGCTTCTGTTGTGATGAAACGAGGTTATATTTAACTTTAGCCTCGCAAACTGAAAAACTACAACCATGTCGGTGTTTTCCGGTGTGCAAAACGAACCAACCCAAAGCGCCCACGGACCAATGAGAAATCGAGTTTTGTGGGACTCCCTCATACGTCATAACTGTGCTCCGCTGCTATCTGTCGGAGGAGTGGAGGGATCTGCTCTTCACATGTCTCTGCCTCATCATCTGTTGGGGAACATACCGTCTAATGAAACCGAGTGTCTGTTTTGGTGGGGGGGGATTAACCATCCGGTACCGGTCTGCGTGAAATAGGGAATGAACGAAGAGACAGCACCGGACAGCTGGAAGACAAACTCCGGGTGCTCCAGGTGTGCAGCTAAGCTAGCATAGTACTGTGGCTAGCGGGGGGCAGTCTGATAAATAGACACTTTTATTGACATATTTTCTGAGTGTCTGCCACAACAACGCTACTGTTTTAAATTCTGAAAACACATCGACATTTCGTTAAAATGAATTATACTCCGCTAGCTACAAAATAAGGTGCCAAATGTGTGATTGAAATAGATCCTGTTGCCCCCCTGAGTTTACTGTCATTGGTGCATCTCCTATCAAAACATACATGACCCTTTTTGGTCATTAATTAAATCTCTACTCATTTATGTAATACATATTTGCTTGTTGTATATAGAGACCATGCTATTAGTCCCAAGTTACAGCAACTTCCTTAGCACTTATTTAGCCTGCCCTCCTTCATAAACGTAAAACATCACCTGTGAATATAACACAAAACAATTCTGACAAGCCACATCCTGCATCTAGCAAAATGAGCATACATTTGAATCAAGCTCACCCAAACTGAACGAAGGTAGTATTAAAGTACTGTTGTGTTAGACTGCATGAGTTTTAGCTACAGTAGGTGTATCTAATAAACTGGTTATTGAGTGTACTTACAACCATGTTGGAGCTGACCGGACAAACTTCAAATATTTGTGTAACCTCACCTAAAACCAGTCGTCATTATATGTAGTCATGATGTTGTTGTTTTTTATTTTATTGACTTTAGATTTACAGTTGTGATGCTGAGATATCCATTGCCACAATTTGAGGTAATGGTTACATTCAGTAAGTTGAATCAATTTGTGTAAGCTGGACATTGTTTCTGGCATTACTGCAACGTCAATGCATTTTGAAAATGAATTGTTTTATATTAGCTTGGATACCTGAAAGCCTTTTGTAATTTGGGTGAGTTAATCTTCAGTTAGACTAGCCTAAGTGCAAAAATGACAGCATTCAACAAAATGAATGTGAAATCATCAGGCCATTTCTGAATTATACAATGCATGCTAATAAGCGTTTCTTGAAAGGTATGATCGACACAATTTTCTAACGCCCTTTCCAAATGTAATCAACAGTTGCTTAACAGCCCATCTAATGCTGGCTTTTTCTTTTGTTAAGTATTGAGCAAATGCTGGCTGTGAGTCCCGGAAAGACGCCCATCAGTCTGCTGCAGGAGTATGGAACGCAGATAGGCAAGACCCCAGTGTATGACCTGCTGAAGGCTGAGGGACAGGCCCACCAGCCCAACTTCACGTTCCGCGTCTCCGTCGGAGAGATCAGCTGCACCGGCCAAGGGCCCAGCAAGAAGGCAGCCAAGCACAAAGCAGCCGAGGCTGCTCTGAAGATGCTCAAGGCAGCTCTCGGAAATCCCGTCGGACTGGGTGTTGGAGAAGAAGGGTTTATTGGAGTAAAAGTGTCCACGGATGTAGAGAGGTCAGTTTCTTTTCAAGTTTTTTATTTCTTTGCACTTACTTTTTAGTTAAGATTATACATTGATCCGGAGTAAAACCACCAGGCAGTTTTATCCCACAGGCCATAAGACTGCTAAACACCTGAGCTCTGTTAAATGCCTCGATAAACATTCAGTTTGTCATCTACTTATTTATCTAAATAGTTATCACCGCAATAAACCGTATTTAATTTCATTTTAATGTACAATATTTAATTTCACATTCTGTTGTATATAACATATTCAATGTACATGTATATAGACTTCTTGCACTATTTTTTTTTTATTTGTTATTTTGTATTTGATATATGTTACATCGTTGGAGGAGCTCGGGTCATAAGATTTTCATTGCCATTTCTACACTGTGGCTTATGTGCATGTGACAATAAAACCTTTGAATCTTTGAATGTTAACATCAGCCGATGAAACATCTCAGTGTTCTAAGAATTGAGTGAATTTAAGATAGATGTCTGTGTGGTTTTGTGACTTCCCTTATCTTCTGTACAGCCCTCAGGCAGAGATGAAGACATCAAGCACTTCTCAGCAGTCTGAGTGTAACCCTGTTGGAGCTCTGCAGGTGAATACACACGGATAACTCCTGTAGTTTAAGGTTTTAAATTGTGAAAAACTTCCGATATAGTTGCATGCCTTTTTGTTTTCATGAGTAATGTATGAGTTTACATCTCTGCCAGGAATTGGTGGTGCAGAAAGGATGGCGTTTGCCAGAGTACACCGTCACCCAGGAGTCTGGTCCAGCACACCGCAAGGAGTTCACCATGACCTGCAGAGTCGAGAGATTTGTGGAAATCGGTAATATGCAAACGTGCAGCCTTTTACAGGGTGGTAGAGTAACTACTGACCTTCATTGACCTTTACTTGCAACACATGCATTACAAGAGCATTACCAGGCATTGGCACAGCCTACAGCTGCCTGTAATAGATTACTCAACATGAATCAATCTCCTGTTCCTTTATAGGAAGTGGAACCTCCAAGAAGCTCGCAAAGAGAAACGCAGCGGCTAAGATGTTATCGCGTATACACGATGTCCCGGTCGACCTGAGAACCACCAACGAAGCTGAGGTCGAAGAGGACACGTTCAACATGGTGAGAAATAAACTTTCTCTGTGCCCCATTTGTCAAAGTTTGTGAAAACATTTGCAGGAAAGAATCCACAACCTTGCATAACATGTTAATATTGTATTTGTGCTTACCAATGTCTTCAATTTACATTTATTAATCTTTCATTGTGACGCAGAACACAGTAAGACATGCATCCCATCCCCCTTTTCCTTACTGCTCATACATCTTAATAGTGTTTATTAACTACTATGAATTTCCACCTGCACACACAGCACATGGGGAGCAAAGCTGATACGGGCAAAAGTAAAGGCTTCGGCTGTACGTGGGACTCTCTGCGTAACTCTGCTGGAGAGAAGATCCTCCAGCTCCGCAGCCACCCTCTGGGCATGCCCACTGACTCCAACTTCTGCTCTCTGCTCAACGACCTGTCTCTGGAGCAGTGCTTCGACATCAGCTACCTGGATCTAGGTGAGTTCCCAAGCAGTGGATCATTATACATTCTTCCAAGCACCACAGTGTGAGTAAAGTGGAAGACTACAATAAGTTTAACACTGAAAGGTTACAAAGAAATGTGGAGTCTATTCACTGGGTAGTTGTGTGTATGCCAGAGTTCCCATTAGCTGGTAATTACCGGACTATGACCGGTCAAATATGCTGAAGACCGGCAAATCTAAATCTCTCCGGTCAAAGTGTCCGGTCAAAATAATTTCACCTTAGCGCAATACCGCATCAGTTGCGCAACTTGCGCCACTGATGTGACAAACAAGAAGAGTATGTGACAGAGAAGAATAGTCCATTCTAATGTCTAACACGTAATGTGGAGAAGGAGATGTCCTGTATGGGTTGATTGTGCGTTGATCTGTTGGTAATGCCTCAGGGTTCCGGTGGGCATGTAAACAAATGCATAATGCTGCGCTATACTTTGCGGCCTCACCCGGTTGCATAGCGACGCTTATTGTTTAGGTGTCTTTTAATAAGCAGGCTGCGTGGCCATTTCTTGACACGTGTTGGTACGTCGACTCCCAATGAAGGAGATAATAGGCTACCAGTCATTAATCATTAGGTGTAGTCAGTATGATACAGGGCTATTACAAAAACCGTATACAGAATCAAACACGTCTACCACAATAGTATACGTCACCAATCGAAAGTTGTTTAAGTCACATACCAAATACAGGAATTATTTTACGTTGAAATTTACGTATACGTGGTCTCAAGGGCAATCTTATAAAAGAAGCGGCCAGGTTGTACAGGCAATTTCAAATTTTAGAAGGCCTGGTTTAATACTTTTCACCGGCCAGTTTCCAGAAGAACAATAAATAACTCGAAATTTGATTAACTATACTAAGCTATAATTATTGTTTGATGTTAAATATCATCTAATTTGATGTATATAAGTTTTCACTTGTCATTGAATGTTATTGTGCCCTTATTTATATTTGTGCTCTCGCGGAGTAGGGAGAGGAGCTGTCGGGCATGTCATAGTTACGTCGAGCGCCTAGTCTGATTACTTCACTTGGGCGTGTCAGCTTTGATTTAGTATACTATATTATATTATACAATATATCCATCAAACTCTCCCATTAATTTTATCGACTTGCACACTATAAGATTGGACTCCACACACAAAACAGGTGAGTGGCGACGTACACTAGGTACGTCTCGACGCACAGGCTGAGCAGTCGTCGTCGACTAGAGAGAGAGAAGGCAGTCTCAATCTGAAGTAGATGGAGGAGCGCAAATACAGGTATAGCTAGTCTAGGTCGATCAAGATCGATTACT